TTACTCCTGCCTGAAAACCATGATTGGACTTCGCGCTTTACTATTTGCACTTTACTTTATAAGGATTGAATAGTCCACATTCTCCCTTTAACCTTCTCTCTCTCTCTCTCACACACACACACACACTTTCTCTCACTTTTCCATTATGTAAATAATGAAAGCGTAAACCTGAAATACCTTCCTTGTTAGTTATTCCTTGTTAGTTATCAGCTACTAAATGTATTCCGTATTCTAAATTACGGTAATTTTTATTTAATTTTTGCAGTATATATCATATTGCGTTTTTGAATTTTTTCGTCTCTGTAATGATTTTGAGTTTTTGAGTCTGTGTATATGCTCCGCGTTTGTTGTAAGTTTCCTTATTGAATGTACCCATTAGTAGCATAAAGAAAAACAGCTGATGGAGGAACGTCTGTTGTTCGCCTTATTGCCTTGCAGCTATTGGAAAAATTAGGTGGAGAGACTAGAAAATGGAACGTAGTTTTTATTTTTTTAACTTAATTTTTTGTTTTAATTAGTAATGCATTAGTTAGTTTGCACTTTTTTCTTTGTATCTTTTAGTAGTGTCTGGTTTTTGAAATGCTGATGCAAAGCTTCATTTATGGTGTGGTTGTTTTGTATTTCATTTACATGGAATAAAAATAGAATGCCAATAAAGTTCGATTTGTGGACAGAAGCATAATGTATTGGTCTAAATCTTGAGTGGTGAACAAGAAAAGGGTCTAACTTTGTGATACTAAAGATTTGTTATGGAAAACAGGAATGAAAATCCTAATTACATTTGAGAACATGCTAAATGAAGGAATATGAAGTATAGGATTTAATTTTCTTTTTCGATTCTGTTTTGAGTGGCAGATCTTTAGGAAAATATGAACTGCTAGATTTGGAGCATGTTCCCGGCTAAACTTTTATTAGATTATAAGATGTGTGTTCTATGATATGTGTGACTAATAATTGAGGAAAAGTTGTGTCTTACTTGATAAAAATAGAGCTTTACCAATTTCTAAGCAGTTTTAAGCTCTGCTAAATATGCACTCGATTTACCATGTTATGCATACTAAAAGTAGAGAGCCTCTTTAACTTTGAGCCAAGCACTAATAATGCGCATGGTCTATAGTAAACTTCAACTTGCAACTGGCTGCCAACTCAAAGAGACCTACGTTGTAAGAGAATTTCCTGAAGTATATATGCAGACCAACTTAGCTTTTCCTTGGCCTGTTAACAATTGGAAATAACGGTACTCCAGTCCACATCTTTTTTTGGTCCTAAACTGAGTCAATCTGTGTGGTTTCACTTTTCTCGTAAAATTCATTATGATGCAAAATGCAGATGTAACCTGTTGCATTTCTTTCTGTTTTCATAATTTAGAAATATCTCAGTTGATGAGAATTTTTATAACCAGATGTTGCCATCCTGAGAATCCAATATATAGATATCACTGCATTTCATAGTTCACTGGCCACATGAAAAGCATAATTTTGTAGTCTTTTGTTTGCCTCATAGTTTTCACCATCTATTTGACCAGTTAAGCAGTTGATGATTTAGATTTCTACTTATATTCACTATAAAGTTCATCATCCCATCTTTCTGCCCAACCCAACTAGGATATGAGAGGTGTAAATATGCTCTAAAAAACTTTGTCGACAGACGTTATGGTATTCCATGTGACCGCTCTGATTAGTATTCCTCTGTTTGTCGACAATTGAGAACAAAATCCTTGGAGATGTTGGTTTTTCTGGCTTTTAACCTTGATGATCATGAAATATTTAATCTGTAACATTTATTCTCACTAGTATTTAGGGCAAGTGTACCTTTGGCCTTTTATCCTTTTAGTTATGAATTATGATGCATTTTGAATGTAGGCCTTACCCTGGATGCACCTGAAGATTTCTATCCATCACTTCAATGGATTTTAAAATGAAGCCAAGAACTAATGAAGTTTCTCGGAGGTCCAGAGGTTTGCAGGGGCAGGGGCAGGGCCCAAACTGGGTCCTTATTGCCGGCAGTGCTCTGTTGAGTACATTATCAATTCGCTTGGGATATAAGCTGAAGCAGGTCCTTGATACTAGAAAGCCCGAAAATAGTAATAATAGCTTAAAGGGTATGAAAATCCAAAGATTAATTATGAGTTCTTTTGTACTTTGTTTATGCTTTAAAAATGTTGTTTATAATGCAGGGAAAGGAAAATCTACCGATGAGAATAAGTCGAGGAGCTTCCATTTGCATTCAAGTGCTTATTGCTTTCCCAACCATGTGAATGGTTGCTATAATAGTTATTCAGGCAACAACTTTTACAAATCTTATTCTTTTTTTTTTTTTTGGAGGTTTGATTTCAAATGTTACTTGAGCTTGTATATTTTTCGTTTTTCAGTTCTAAATTGAGCTTAAATCTCACGCTTTTGCATACAAATGGGGATTTCATTTGAAGGTTCATTATTTTGACAGAGTAATCATATTTGGCTAAACATTACCAATTATCATGGAAATCATTGCTGTAGAATCAATGATGATGTAGTTAAGTGTAACAAAATTATATTTGTGCATGTGGGAGTGGTTACGAGTAGATTCTCACTTGTCAATCAATATGTAGTAATATTTTTTTTGGTGCTTTCATGAAACAGGATCAAGAAACGTGATTAAAATAAAACAGCAGGCCAATGACCAAATGGTGCCAGAACATGAAATGGTTCTTCCTTTAGCGACTCAACCTGCTCCCGAGTTTAGCAAAGAAAATGGTGTTTTATGGGCATCTTCTCCCGATTGTCTTGAGCTGCCTCAGAAGCCATTCCACCAATCAAACAGCTCAGACTCGCTATGTGTCTCTGAATCTGGATCTGATATTTTCAGTAAGCGAGAAGTTATTCAAAAGCTGAGGCAACAGTTAAAGAGAAGAGATGACACGATTCTTGAAATGCAGGATCAAATTACAGAACTTCAAAACTCTCTTAACTCTCAGCTTTCATGTTCTTCCCATCTGCAATCTATGCTGGATGCTGCAAACAGGGATTTGTTTGATTCAAATAGTGAAATACAGAGACTAAGAAAGGCAATTGCGGATCATTGTGTGCAACATATAGATTCTAGAGACATGCCCCCTGCAGTTCCCATATGGCCACCTGAAGGGAGGAATGGCCATGCAAACGAGTATCTTGAAGTTGAAAACAATTTAGTGTATCCGAAAACAGGTAAAGGAGATAGGGAAAAGATTGAACAGCTGAAGAGGGAAGTGAGCGAGTTGAAGGAAGTGATAGAAGGAAAAGAATACCTGCTGAGTAGCTACAAGGACCAAAAGGCCGAGCTCTTGATGAAGATCAAAGAGTTGCAGCAGAGATTGGATTCTCAACTTCCAAATATTTTGTAGTACGATTCAGATATTCTTGCATGTCTGATTTTAATCTGAAGTGAAGTTCCCGATTTTCGGACATTGCTCAGTTTTCTTGTTTTTTGTCGATTTTTTTTCATTTCTGCATCTTTGCGCATATCTGAAAGAGAATCGGTTGTTTATAAAGGTCATACATCAAAGCAATCCATAGTTTGCACAATTTTGAGTGTGAAATCAAGTTTTGTACTTTGGACTTGTTCACATGTTCAACATGCTTCTCAATGTGCATGGAATCTAATATTATATACTTCTTAAAAGTATGCATTTGGAATTTTATTTGCCACTGTAAATTCTAGGTTTTCCTAAATAAGAATGGAATGCTAATGTGATGCTATCGATCAAAGAGGTTGTTTTTTGTCTTTTATCGATTTGTTGTCCCTTGGGGGCTTCAGAGGAATATGGGATTCATAAAATCCTTAGCTTTTGATTAATATTTCTTTTTTTGTCACTGCATAGTGGATGGAACATGAGCTGACCAAAGTTTGACATGAGGACGGCCTATTTCGTAAGGGATTTTCGAAATAGTGCTCGGGGTGGATTCTCTAACCTCGTAATAAAGTGCTTGATTGTGTGTGTTCTATCGGCCATAGCTTTTGGAAAAAGTGATTACTGCACCCGAGATCAAATGGGTTATTTTCGTAAGATAATTGTACCCCCTAAAAGAAAAGACAGTAAAATTGCATTCGACATCACTAACTTTGAGGCTTAGCTTATGGGTTTATAACCAGATGAACCCCTCCCGTAATAATTTGGTTTTAAGGATGAATTATATCATATTGTAGTATTTAGCCCCTGTTTGACAATCATTATTTGGATAAAACGGAGTTTTAAATAGTGATTTTTTAGGAAATGTGTGGTTAAAAAATAAGAAACAAAATTGGGTTTACGTGAATGTGTGGCTGAACATGAATATGTAGAAAAAAAGTTTTAAAATAATGATCGTCAAACAAGGGCTCAACGAGTCTTCTATGTAGGAGTATAATTTCATCCAACTCTATGGCACAGTAGCATTACATCTATCCATATCAGAAGAGGTAATTTTACGAGGTACAAGACTCCTTTTCC